GATCACAGCTCACTCACTGCAAGCTCGACCTTCTGGGTTTAAGCAATCCTCCTGAATATCTGGGACCATAGGAGTGTGCCACCATACCCAGTTTTTTCTTTTGTTGTTGTTGTTGTAGAGACAGGGTCTCACTATATTGCCCAGGCTGGTTTCAAACTCCTAGGCTCAAGTGATCTTCCCACCTTGGCCTTCCAAAGTGCTGGGATGACAGGTGTGAGCCACTGCGCCCAGCCTGGGGAAGATTTCTTAAAGTGTAGTAAATGAAGTTAAATTGGGCCAGTCCAGAGCCTCCACTCTCCCCTGCCCCAGCTCAGACACAGGTAGGAAGTCTCACCCCTTCAGAGGGGACACTTCCCCCAAGGAGGCCTCTAGGTTGAATCTAGGCCACAGAGAACATTTCTATCTTCCCCATGCCTGGCACCAACTGCTCCAGAAGCCCAGACCCCATGGCCTAAGGAGGCCCAAAGAGTTGTGGGATTCTGACACACTGCATGACAGGCGACCCACGGCCCTTTCACAGTATTCAAACTGCCAGATGCAGAGATGCCCACGGGAAGAGCGGGGCAAAGGCGGGGACCCTGGGGAGGCCAAGAGGTGTGTTCTACCCCAGGCCATGGGGCAGCCGGCAGGTACTGATGTACCCTTGCTGGGGTCACCTTGTGCCTGGGGACATTTATCAGGCCAGCACAGTCTGCTGGAATAGGAAATGTCCTCTGGCTTCCTCTGCCCACACCGCCAGTCTGACATCCCAGCCACCACCCCAGCTAGGTTTCAGGAGGTAGGGAAAGCCAGGCGCCATCTCCCCATGGAGAGGCAGAACTGTCAGAAGCCCACCTCCCCATCCCAAGGCTGTGGCTTCCTCCTTTCGTTGCCTCTGGGTTGAAGGCAGACAGGTGAGACCCTAGGAGGGCAGCCTCTGGTGAACCTCCTTCCCATGTGCTGCTTGGGGACATCAGGAGGGACATGCATATGCCCTCAATTCTCTCGCCTCTCCCAGCAGACACTGCCCTCTCTGGGCTTCTCCTCCTTGAGATGATGCCAGTGTGTGAGCTCTGAAAGGGCAGATCCCACGCCAGTGGTCCCCTTGTGGGTCCACCTTCCTGATTGATCACATTCCCAGTCCCCCAGCTGGGACCCCCATTGGGTGCCCTGTGAGGCAGCCCCTGTGAGCAGGACACAGACTTCCTCCCTCCCAGGCCTCCCTGAGGACACATGTCCTAGGCAGCAGCCAGCTCCCCGCTGGCCAGCCAGGATGGTGGGGGGGGTCACATCCGGGTGGGCCCCCAGGGGCTCCAGGCCTGGCTCACTAGGAAGCCTGTGACCCAGCCCCACTGACTGACCCCTGACAGCGTGGCGTGGGAGGAAAAATCTTCTATCCAACTGCTCAGCTGCCGGATTTCCGGCTGGGGCGGGGTGGGGGGGTCTGCCAGGACGACCTGTTCCCCTGGGGAAGTGTCCTTTGCCCTTGCTGGGAGGAAAGATGTCCAGTGGTGGCCAGCGGAACCCCGGAGCCCTGGTAGAAGGGCGCTGATCCCTCCGGCAGCAGGGCCCCATTGAATGGATGTCCAGCGGTGGCCCTGGTCCTGCTGTCAGGCCTCGGGACCTGCCCAGTCTCCAAGGGATCTCAAGCCCTGGGGAGCTGGGGAGCTGGGTGCTGGGGTACAGGACTCCTGGGTCCAATAAGGCCTGACTCAGCAAGTGACCCCAGCTGAATCACTTCCCCTGGGCAGCCTGCCCACCTCAGTTTCCTCGGGAAGGGTGGGTAGTGAGGAATGGGGTCTTGCAGGGTATGAGCAGCTGGCACTGCCCCTCTGGACTCACTGAGGCAGGCGTCTCCGGTCTGCCCAATGGAAGCGGCTTCCTGCTCCACCTCGTCACAGATGCTGAATGCCCGTGAGCCCCTGGGGACCGTTTTCCCAGGAAACCTGGCAGTTAAGTGCCAGCCCCTATTGACCATCAACAAGAATGGCTTGCACTTATTGAGTGCCAACTGCATGCTGGGCACTGTACATGCCTCCTCTCAAAACCACCCTAACAGGGAGCTGGCAGCACCCCCATTTCATAGACAAAAAGACCTGTGGCTCAGAGAGGTTAAGGGACCAGCCCAAGGTCACACAGCCAGAGCAAGTACAGCCAACACAGTCCCAGTCCAGACACTGTACTTCACACAGCCACCCTGCAGAGGCTGGAACTCTTGGCTTCCATCAGGCAGGCAAGGCTTAGACCAGAGAAGCCAGGTTACCTGCCTAGGACCTCATACCTGGAAGCCAGTAAAGCCCAATTTGGCTCCAAAGCCCATACTGCTACCATGGGGAAGTGGGAATTCAACAGAAAAAGACTCTCATTTTAATAACAGCAGTAATACCTACTACTGTTAACTGAGTGCCAGGCTCAGCACTCGGTGCTTTACGTGCTGTGTCACAGAGAGTGCTATAGCTGTTCAAGCCTTTCACGGATGCTGTCTCAATTGTCTTGGAGAGGTTAAGTGACCAACCCGATGATTCCCAGCAATGGGAGACCCTCGTGAACATTAGCCCTCAGAAGGGTATGTGGTCATGTAAACTGGGCCCCAAAGGCACTTTCAGCGAAAGGAGCTGTATTGGCCCAGACTGAGGGACAGCTTCCTACTATGTCCCCGAGACCCCTTCAATGACCCTCCCCACCCTGGCTGGGGAGGGCACCTAGGTTCCCCTCACCCAAGACAGGTGGCACTAGGACTGGTGGCTAGGAGGTCCCTCCAAGTGCCTCCAGCTCTGCTCCACCCAGGCTATGGAGAATATCTGGGGGTGGCACAGTGGGACCCAGAAATCCAAGGACTTAGCAGTCCTACGGGATCTGATTTGTACTCAAAAGTTCTATTTATCAGAGGAGGAGCATCAGGCCCAGGTTTGAGAGGCATGGGGGTAAGGGGGAGGAGGAAGGAAAGCCAGCAGAGCTAACATCCACAGTAAAAAAGATCATCCCGGCCCCGAGGCTACTTCTCTTCCTCCTGACCAAGCCATTCTAGACTCTGTGAATCCACTCATTCATGGTTCCCATGACCCTAAGAAGTAGGTGCTATTAGCACACCCACTTTACAGATGAGGAAACTGAGGTGGGGGAGTTCAGCAAGGCCTCCTGGCTAAGGAAGTGCCCAGATCTTCAAAATTCTGCTCCCAAACACCCTGGACACTCCAGTGCTATTATGTGCAACAGATGCTCAAGGGAGACTGCAGAAGGAACAGCTCACAGCCAATAACAGTAACACTCACGAAGGTGATGATAAAAGCACCACCACCACCTGCAACTGAATCTCTTCTCTTTGCCAGGCAGCAGGTGCTCATTACACACTGGCTCATTAAATCTCCACAGCAAACCTGTTATTACCCTGTTTTGTACAGGGGGAAACTGAGGTTTACAAGTCACTTGCCCATGCCTTCAGCTGAATGGAGGCTGTGGGAGCAGCGAAGTGCAGTCTCCAGGACCCTCGTCACTATCCTCCTCCGCTTCCTGCTGAGCCCCTGCAGGCCGAGCCCCCAGCTGCTGATGCTCCGGGTCAGGCCCTTCCCAGCTGGCTGCTCTGTGGCCCACAGGGACTCGCAAAAGTTCTAAGAATGCTCACCCTTTGACTCAGAAGGATTTTCCCTCCCAGAGTGGGGTTGTGGGAACAAGCTCAGGAAAAGTGCACTAAAAACCCTTCAAACTTCCCAGTGGGCCCAGGCTCAGCCTGCCCAGGTGGCGTCTGCCGGCTCTCCCTCCACGAGGGCAGGTCCAGAGGAGCCTCCAGAATGGCCAGGTCAGTGATAGGAAACCCAGACACAACGTGCACCTGCATCCGTAGAGACCCACACACCCACTGCCCTGGCAGGGGCCCTGAGGCCTAGCTGCTGGCTGGCTGGCGTGAGGGAACTGTCATCTCCCCGGCGAGGGGCTGTGTCAGATCTCGGCCCACCTGCCACGAAAGCTGGCCCTGCCCACACCGCTTTGCCCAGGCCTCTGCTCCGAATCCCCCACCAGGTTTCACTTCCTCCCACTCAGCCCAGCCTGGCCGTACCCCTCCCTGGAGGCCCCCAGCTGCAGGCGGTGACCTCCTCACCTACATCAATTGTGGTTGGGAATGGGGAAGAGAAACAGGAGAACGAGGAAACTAAAAAAAATAAAGCGGGACAAGCAGGCAGACCCCCCTCTCCGGTTCCTCAAATGCAATCCCCTCCCTCAAAACAAAGCTCCCTGGAGGGAGGGAAGGAGGCAGGCAGGGGAGGAGATTTCTGCACCAGGCATCAGAGGCCTCTGAAATACCCTCCCAATCGTCAGGATCTAGAAGACCAACACCCCCTTCTGACGTTTTTCGGTCGGAGTATTCCCAGGGAACCCCAGGTCGGAGGTGTGAGAAGATCAGTCCCAGAAACCTGTCTCTGGGACCCCTAGCCCTGGTGAACCGCCCAACTCAGCAGCGTACCGGGGCCTGGCCCAGCCCACCTCGGCAGTGCAGGGACTGGGGAGAGGGGTTTCCTGAATCAGGGCGCTACCCTTTTAGCCACATGGCCCGGAATGGGGGTGAGGAGAGGCCGGCGCATCCTCTCCCGCTGCCCTCACACCCAAGGGCTCATCTGTGTTCACAGCCTCAGTTTGACTACTTTCACTTTGAAGGTAGCATTGGATGGCCCCTGACCGCTCCTCCCCAGGCATAAGTTGAGGGGAGGGCCAACCCCAACCGGCGAGGCCGCTGTAGAGTGGGCTGGGGGCGTCAGCGAGCGATGCCCTCTCCCCGCTCCCACGGCCTCAGCTACCCCAACGCTCTCCCCAACACGTGTGTGCGTGGTGGTGGTAGCTGCGGGGGGGCGGGAGTCGCAGGTGCTGGGAGCCGTCACCCTGGAACGCCTCCATCTGAGCTGCAGGGCAGTATTTTGGGCAGGGGGTGACGCGCAGAGCCCGGGCAGAACTGGACACGGGGCCTTCCCTTCCCCCACGAAAGCCCTCCTGGCCCCGGAGGAGGACAGCGCCGGCAAAGGCGGACTCACCTGAGAGACAGGGGCTCCGGGCCCGGCCGGCCCATGGCGTCGCGCGCCCCCGGGCTCCCGAAATCCCGAGAGGGCAGGTGGGTCCCCGCCCCGGGAGCGTCCTCTCCCGCGCGCCGGCTTCTCGCTCGCGGCTCGCTGGAGCGGGGCTCAGGCAGGAAACCCGGGCTCGGAAAATGGCCAGCGCCTCATCATTTCCGCCGCCAGCGCTTGACAGTTGCGGGAGGATGCGCCCCCGGGCCGCCGCCGCCTGGGAAACTTTGCAGCCGCCGCCGTCGCCACCGCGGGCCGCGACAGTCCGGGCGGGCAGCCGGGCGGAGGCGGTGGCCCGGACCCATGCCGCCCTGCGCCGTTATGTAAAGAGATATCGGGAGTGCAAGCTGAGCCTGGCGGAGGAGGGCGGCCGCGACAGGGGCGGGGCCACGAGGAGTCACGCCCCTGGCCGCCCACGAGCCGGAGACTCAGCTGGTGGGGCGGGACGTGAGGGCGGAGCCTGGGCTGGTCCCGCCTACCAATCCCGCTAGTCTGCAGCTGACCGGGTCTGAGGCCTCTCCTAGCTAGCGCCGGGCAAGGGGCGGGGCTTTGCGAAGTCACGCCCACCACGTGCCCACTCGATTTGGCGTCTCACAGCCTAAAGAAGGGAGGATCGAAGGGGCGGGGCGAACTTAGCCTCACCCACTCAACGCCAGCAGGCCACCGGGTGCCTCAGCGCCTGGAGGCGGGGCCAGATGAGGGGGCGGGGCCTAAGGATCGCAGGGTCGAGAGGTCTGGCCTCCAAGGGGCGCGTCTCTGCTGACTCCCTCCTGTAGGGCCTTATCAGCGCCCGCAGGGCTGGGTCGTGCAATAGTGACCCAGTCTTTCATCATCGCTCGAGGGAGACAGCCCAGCCCTGCCGCGCCCTATTTGCGATCAAGCTGAGGCGATCCGCCACGGCCCTAGCCCCCCAATTTGGGTTCTGGCCTCAGCCCTCAGCTTTGCCTTGCTACAGCCAGTGCCAGTATAAACCAGCCTCCCTCCGGCTACCCGTCCTGTCCCCCAACTCTAGGAGGGGTGCATCCTTCTCCAGGAAGCCCTCTCGGACCGCTGGCTCCCGTGGCCTCTGCGCCCCCACCCCCCTCCAGCCTCCGGACTACTTACGTTTTCCCCACGGCCTCATGAGGAACCGAGACTAACAGTGGGGTTCCCCCTAGTCCGGAGTGGGGCATGCTTTCAGTCAGCCTCTCCCCCAACACGTGGGAGGGCGCGGAGGGAGGAATGTCTACCCTTCTCCCCCTCCCCCAACAGGAAACTAGTCGCCCACGCCCCCAGCTTGGAGGGGCCACCTCAAGCCTTCCCAGGCAGCAAGTGTCTCCATTCCACTGCCTCCCCCTCTTCCTACCCGGGCAAATGACTTGACTTCTCCGTACCTCCACTTCCTTGCCTATGAAATGGAAATAATGTGTACTCACTCTCCTGGCAGTGAGAATTAAGTGAGTTAATGTATTAAAGCAGTTAGCTCGAGACTTGGCTCCAGGAAGCATTCAGTGTTAAGGCGGGGAGTTCTGGCCTTTGAGCTACAGGAAGGGGTTCCCCAGAAGGTGGGGATTTCCAGGCTCCAAGTAGACGGGGGAAGGGAGCTGGCCTGCTATAGGATTCCTGGTGTCCAATGACCTTGAAGACAAGGGCCACAAAAATCTGCTTTCCACACATAGGTATGAAATAACTGCTATGCGCCAAGCACTGTTCTAGGCGCTGGGAACACAGCAGTGAACAACACAAATATCTCTGCCTGCGTGGAGCTGATATTCTAGTGAGGAGACATAAGGCACGAATAAGTAGGGGGATCACTTATGGAATGACAAAACAGTTATGGGATGGAGATTGGGAAGGGGATATCTTAGATCTGGGGCTCAGGAAGGACACCTCTGAGGAACTAATATGTGAGCTTAGAGCCCCCCATGACAAGAAGGATCCAGGCACTACAACATCTGAGGGAAGAGCATTTCAGGCCAAAGGAACAGCATGTGCAAAGGTGCTGAGGTGGGAATACATTTGGTGCGTAGAAGAAAGTCATAAAGGCAGTGGTGACACCCATACTGATAAGAGATGACATTTCAAAGGTGGGCCCATCACATGGTGTTTTGAAGGTCCTGGTGGGGACTTTGGGAATATTTTGAGGGCAGTAGGGTGCCATGGAGGGCTGTGAGGACAAGGATCTGTTGAGGGTGGGATTCAAGCTGTTCACACAGCTTCTGAGTATGTGGGAAGAGGGGTGGGGTGGGGGAGTGTCAATGAAGTCTCAAGAAGGCCCGGTGCCGTGGCTCACACCTGTAATCCCAGCACTTTGGGAGGCTGAGGCCAGTGGATCACCTGAGGTCAGGAGTTTGAGACCAGCCTGGCCAACATGGTGAAAAACCATCTCTACTAAAAATACAAAAATTAGCTGGGTAAGGTGGTGTGTGCCTGTAGTCCCAGCTACTGGGGAGGCTGAGGCAGAAGAATTGCTTGAACCCGGGAGGCGGAGGCTACAGTGACCCGAGATCACATCACTGCACTCACCCTGGGAGACAGAGCAAGACTCCATCTCAAAAAATAAAAAGTCTGAATGGATTACCCCATATAATTTAATCAATTTCTTATACTTGGGGACACTGAGGCCAAGAGAAAACAGTTACTTGTTTGTAGCCATGCAGCTGCCAGGCGGCACCCACACAGCAGCCCGGTACCCAGCCAATGCCAAATGGCTGCTGAAATCTGCCAGCCACAAGCACTTTCCCTTTCACTGCCCAGACAGCAGCTCTGCTGACTTAAATTGGGACTTGCGGTTCTTCCCCTTTTTAATCACGGTTCAAGCCTTCTCGCCTGCCAGATTTCTCGGAGGCGCAAACTGGTTTCCTTCCTTGCTTAGTTGCTTCTCGCCCGTGTCCCCACCGGAGTTCAGTTTCTTGTTTTGGTGCTCACTGAGACCCGAAGACTTCTCGCTTTCTGTGTTTGTTCTCCCTTGGAAAGGCAAAGGGATTCCAGCAAATAACCTTCCCATCACTGTGCCCCAGATTTGAGAGCGCCGCTGCCGCGAGCACAGCAAGGTCCTCATCGCCACTGGGAGGCCAGCCACCCTCGGCTCTTCCCACCCTGCAGGTCACTGGGGCCAAGGAGAGAAAGGGTTATTCGAATTCCCACGACTGATCAGTAGCTCCCGGACACAAGCCAGGGCCCCTTAGGAGAACAGGTCCAACCGCCCTCCCTCCCTGCTGTGAAAAACGCCAACACCTCCTGCTGGCCAAGTTCCAGAAAGCTGGAGACTCACAGGATTAATAACAATTACAACACAAGAGTCAATAGCAGTAAATTAATAATGATCAATGCTATTAATATTCATGTTAGCAATTAGTATTAATAATAACTTTAATAACAACAGAAATTAACTAATACAAACACAAATACATGATATGTGCTTGAAGTGATGGATAGCTCATTTACTCTAATGTGATTCTTATTAAACACATTGCATGCCTGTAACAAAATAGCCCCCATACCCTATAAATACACACACCTACTATGTACTCATAAAAATTCAAGGTCGAGTACTGTGGCTCATGCCTGTTATTCCAGCACTTTGGGAGGCTGACGCAGGTGGACCACCTGAGGTTCAAGACAAGCCTGGTCAGCATGGCAAAAACCTGTCTCTACTAAAAATACAAAAATTAGCCAGGCATGGTGGTGGGCACTTGTAATCCCAGCTACTCAGGAGGCTGAGGCAGGAGAATAGCTTAACCAGGAGTTGGAGATTGCGGTGGGCCAAGACCGTGCCATTGCACTCCAGCCTGGGCAACAAGAGTGAAACTTCGTCTCAAAAAAAATAAATAAAAAATAAAAAAAATTCAAAAAGTATCGGGCCCGATGACTCATGCCTATAATCCCAGCAATTTGGGAGGCCAAGGTGGGTGAATCACCTGAGGTCAGGAGTTCGAGACCAGCCTGGCCAACATAGTGAAACCCTGTCCCTATAAAAAACACTATTAAAAAAATTAGCTGGGCATGGTGGTGGGCACCTGTAATGCCAGCTACTCTGGAGGCTGAGGCAGGAAATTGCTTGAACCCAGGAGGTGGAGGTTGCAGTGAGCCAAGATCGTGCCACTGCACTCCAGCCTCAGCGACAGAGGGCAACCTTTTCTCAAAAAAAAAGAAAAAATCGGCCAGGCACGGTGGCTCACACCTGTAATCCTAGCACTTCGGGAGACCAAGGCGAGTGGATCACCTGAGGTCAAGAGATCGAGACCATCCTGGTCAACATAGTGAAACCCTGTCTCTACTAAAAATACAAAAAATTAGCTGGACATGGTGGCGTGTGCCTGTGATCCCAGCTAATCAGGAGGCTGAGGCAGGAGAATTGCCTGAACCCAGGAGGCGGAGGTTGCGGTGAGCCAAGATCGCGCCATTGCACTCCAGCCTGGGTAACAAGAGCGAAACTCCGTCTCAAAAAAAAATAGGAAAAAGAAACTAGCTGGGTGTGTTGGTGGGCACCTGTAATCAAAGCTACTTGAGAGGCTGAGGCAAGGATAATCGCTTGAATCTGGGAGGTGGACGTTGCAGTGAGCCGAGATCGTGCCACCACACTCCAGCCCAGCTGGGCGACAGTGCAAGACTCTGTCTCAAAAAAATAAAATAAGTAAAATTAAAAATCAAATAGGGGTGGGGAGGTGGGGAGAGATAGCATGGAGAGAAATGCCAGATATAGTTGAAGGGGAGGAAGGCGGCAAATCACACTGCCATGTGTGTACCTATGCAACAATCTTGCATGTTCTTCACATGTACCCCAAAACCTAAAATGCAATTTATTTTATTATTTTTTTTTTGAGACGGAGTTTCGCTCTTGTTACCCAGGCTGGAGTGCAATGGCGCGATCTTGGCTCACCGCAACCTCCGCCTCCTGGGTTCAGGCAATTCTCCTGCCTCAGCCTCCTGAGCAGCTGGGATTACAGGCACGCGCCACCATGCCCAGCTAATTTTTTGTATTTTTAGTAGAGACGGGGTTTCACCATGTTGACCAGGTTGGTCTCGATCTCTCGACCTCGTGATCCACCCGCCTCGGCCTCCCAAAGTGCTGGGATTACAGGCTTGAGCCACCGCGCCCGGCTAAAATGCAATTTAAAAAAATTAAATAAAAAATTTTTTATGCCGAGTGCGGTGGCTCAAGCCTGTAATCCCAGTACTTTGGGAGGCCGAGGGGGGTGGATCACGAGGTCGAGAGATCGAGACCATCCTGGTCAACATGGTGAAACCCCGTCTCTACTAAAAATACAAAAAATTAGCTGGGCATGGTGGCGTGTGCCTGTAATCCCAGCTACTCAGGAGGCTGAGGCAGGAGCATTGCCTGAACCCAGGAGGCGGAGGTTGCGGTGAGCCGAGATCGCGCCATTG